TCTTGAGTTCCTGAGAATTGGCTTAGACAACTTGGAAAATTGAAGTGTAGATTGCTAAATTGAGCTCCTAGTCTTCTAATTCAAGACCTAAGGTAGAGTAATTACCCTCTTGTTTATGAATTGAGCTTGTTCTTACATGATTCATGTCAAATTTAGTGGATTGAGTCATGAAATAGCTTTATATGTTGATTTGAGTTAGAATTCATGCATGCATGTGTTTATCCTTGCATTGTGAGGTTTGATTTCGTGGAAATCTTGCATGCATGTTCATGTTTATATTATAGACTATGATTTCATCTTGATTTTGTAAGAATTGGCTCATTAGAGCAAGTGTTTAAAGCTTCAAAGTTGTTTAAAGTTCATGCATGTTGCATGTTCATCTTGTTCATGAAAATTGGTTTGAAATTGAGTTTGAATTAAACACCCTTGGGCTTTGATTTCTCAAATTGAGCTTTGAACCATGTTATTCTATGTGTTTACAAATGTTTTCCAGAAATTTGGCCCAAGAAGATCGGTTTTAGTACATTTAAACTTGGTTTTGAACTTGGAGCTCGAATATGGAATTTCCAGATTTTGGACTCCCGCTCGAGCGGGGAAAGTTGCGCGCGAGCGGGGAATTTGAGCATCCAGTACTTTGTACTGTTTTACAGTCCGCTCGAGCGGAGGATTGGACGCTCGAGTGGAGGATTGTGTCTCACGCTCGAGCGGACGTTGAGCGGGCGTCGAGCGGAGATTTGACCTATCCAGTACTTTTACAGTACGCTCGAGCGGGTAAGTTGCCGCTCGAGCGGGGACCTTTGTTGCATGTACGCTCGAGGCAATTAGGGATTAAATTATTATCTTTCCCAACTGTATAGCTTAGTGTGTGTGTTCGTTCTGTAAACTGTGTAGGGTTGGCGACCGGAGATATGCTCTAGCTGTACTGTAGCCCATAACTCTGTGAGTAACAATTGTGTAAAGATATGTTCAAAATGACTATCTTCTGAACAACTGAATTGTACTGTTTTCTGAACTGTTCACTGTTTACTGAATGAATGTATCTCCTATATTCTGAACTGTATTGTGGCATCCTTAGCACCTACTGTTTACTATTACTGTTAAAGAGATCTCTGTCGGTTCCCTCGTTGGAACCACTACTATTTACTGATTGATGGCCATCATTTACTGTTTGGTCTGTTAAGACCTGGTCTTTAAGACCTACTGTTTACTGTACTGCTATGCTAATGGATGTACCACATATGACTGCTTACTGTGCTGAACAACTGATAAAGTGATTGAAATGAACTGATTTCATTACTGTAAGGACATTCATTCGTAACCCCTTTACGCTTTATGTTATTCACTAGGCTTTAGCTCACTGCTCATATATATATGTAGGTGTACAGGCACCGGACCAATGCTAGGAGCGTCGGGGCAAACTCCAGTTTTGTCAAGCCAACCACTGTGCCTCACGGCGAGGTTCCGAGCCTGCCAAGCTATGGCTTAGGGGTGTTTTTATTTCCCCCTTCTGTCTCTGTGTCGGTTTTGTATAGTTGTATAGACTGATAGCACTGTACTGTACTGTTTAATAGGGACTCGGTCCCTGTTCTGAATGATTGTAAATATTGTGCATACTGTTCTGTACTGTTACGTATATATGTATGAAAAATCTTTTTGCATACAGACTGTCACAGCTCATTGGACATTGTTTATTTACTGTTTTGGCTTCCGCTATGCCCCTGTACTCTGTAATACTGTCTTACTGTTAAGCAGGCCTTCGGTAATCTCGGATTACTGGCCGGTTACGGTACTAAACCCATAGGGGCGGGTTTGGGTCGTGACAATGATTTTTTGGTGACTTTAATTTAATATTAAAGTGTGGTGACTTTAATTAAATATTAAAGTGGGTCTCAACCATTTATTGTGTTGGGTCCAAGTGAGCCAAAACCCATTGAGATTTGAATAAGAAATTGTCAAGAAATTGCCTCATGATGTTAGATTCATGAATGAGATTTTAAAGGGTATTTAAATCTTTTTTCTTGGCTAAAGGGTGTGAATTTTTTAGGTATCCAAACTTTTCAATTTTTTGAAAAGGGGCTATGGATACTGGTTAATGATGTTTTAATGACCAGCCTTAAAGGCTGGAGGCTCTTCTTCTCTCCCCTATACATGTATAAATTGAGACCCTCATGTCAAGTCTCAATATAGAAATTTTTGTTTCCATTTTACAAGTCAGTTTGCCAGAAAGTTCTTATAGTGAGAGAGTGCTGCCACAGTTTTTGTTCGCTAAGCTAGATAGAGAGTGCTTCCGCCGTAGCTAGTTTTTGACCGTCGTATCCTGGGAGACAGACGCCGGAATTCCTCGAGCACTTGACCCGTGAGGCGGCAAAATCTGTTTTAAAGAAACTGCTACCGTGCATGCTTCGGTTTGGTTTCTTTACTATTTTATTGTTTTGTGTATTTATGTTGAAATTTAGTTGTAATTATCAGCATATGTTCTTGGTATATAATTTTGATTTTTTCATAAATCTATTTATTTAATTTCACAATTTGGACAACAATTATGTGGGAGAGTGTATAATATAAATATAGGCTATTTGTATACGGTTCAGATCGGTTTCAATTCGGAACCGATCCGTGGACTATGAATTTTTAATTTTTCAATCCGAAACCGAACTACGGATTCAAAAAATCAATCCAAACCTACTAAATTGAACCGGACCGGATCGGATTACGGATTTTACGAATTCTTTGCTTAGCCCTACAAAACACTATTAAAATCACAAATAGGACTACACGGAAAGAAACTCTCTACTAATAGGACTTAACAGATTAATAGAAAAAACTTGAGATTAATTGGAATCTTGTTTGTGAGATGAGATTTATTGGCAAATATCCCCCTTTTTTTTTTTGATTTTTTGAATTAATTAATTATTATTTTTTTTCGTATTTATCAAATCTCTTTTATTACAAATGTTTAGTCTTTGAATTTGTGTTTAATTATTTTTATATTCAATTTTTAAAAAATTTAAATTCAGTTAAAGATACTGAGTTTAGCCAAAATTATTTATATATTCATTTTTTTTTAAATTTATATATTCAATATATTGAATGCACTATTTGAAGCTATATTTATTTTATGAATTTGCACATACATCCCATCCCATGTGTCTAGCCGCTAATTATTATTATTATTAGCTATGCAGTGTTAGTGGGTCATAGACTCGTCCTTCTTCTTAACTCAATCTAATCATGGCCCAATGGACTTAATAAAGAAGCCATTTGTTTTGTTGAAACGAAAAAAAGTTAAAAAAAAAAAATCATTAATCCCAGAATAAAAATGAGATATTTATTTACCATCTTTATACACGGACATTTTGAGGTGGTTTGAGATGATCTAAATAAGTGTACTTTTTGACTTTTTTTTTTATGAAATATGGGTTGGGTTGGGTTTGAAGTGATATGGTACAGAGGTGATGTGACTTTAATAAGATGATGTGACTTAAATAGGATAGTGACTTTTTTAGGTTATGAAAAGAAATTATAAGTATTCTAAAACAGGAATAAATCATACCATACGTAATCAAATCTCCAACCTTTAATATATATTTTTAAAATCAAAGCCAACAAAATAGTATTTTGCCTTTTCGATTGAATCAAGAAAGTCGTGATCATTTAGGATATGTTGTATGTTATACACCACACATTTGAAGAATGAATAATAACACAAAAGTGATAAGTTGTGTTATTTATATCAACAATTATAAAATTAGAGCACATGCAACACTTATATTTATTCCAATAACACTAAACAATTTCTCTATGTTTTATAGTTTTTACCATTTTTGGTATGGATAGTGTGCATCTTAAAAATGAAAACAAAAGAATAAAAAATATAATGTAGTCTTTTTTTTGTTTGCCAAAAAATAAATCAAACCTATTTATCTTATAACGCAATAAGTCGAGAGTACAATGTGTCTAATATGAGATCGTAAATTATCTTCTTTTATTTTTGTGTTTTTTTACTCGAGGCCTCCATGCCAATACTATTATCTCTTCTTCATTTTCTTTGAATACCAAAGTGGGAAGTTGTGGATAAATTACAACGAAGAAGACAAATGAAGTCTTTGTTCTACAATGTGTTTGAATGGATCACAATGGAGGAAAAAAGTGGTAACAACGCATATATTTATTTGGCTCAACAGTTTTTCTCTTTTAACTTAACTTTCAATTTTTAATAAATCAGTAATCCAAATAATTGAAGCATCAATTGTAAAAACAAAGAGATGTGTTATGTTTTAGTGGCTAGGCACCCAGAAGAGAGTTTGGAATTGTTAATTTTAGGGGAAATAATGTGTCAGTATAATGTTAAAAAATAGTACCAAATTCATGAAAAAGTATATAAAATTATGTCTTAATGTTGCAAAGTTTTTCATTAATTTAAGATTATTTATCTTACATTCCACTTAAATGATATTTTCCCTTAATTTGAGCACTGACAAATGTCAGATTGGGTTGTTTGGATGTTAAAGAGTTACTACTTAAAAAAAATTATTAATTTTAGCATCCATAAAAAAGTAGTATTTTTCAAAATAGAGAATAAACCAATGAGAAAACATGCTCATAATAAAACAGAGTGAGTCCGAAGATAGACAATCAAGACAAGAATAAATAAGTTATTCCGGTTTCGGAATCCTAGACCCTAAGCTTGTCCGCGTTAGAGAATTGGTAACCCCTCCTCCTCTCATCCCCATCATTTTGTCCAAACACTGAAACTAAGCTCTCCTTGTAATAAATAGCCCAAAGCCCAAGAGTATTGCCACATTCGTAGATTTCAAGATTTCTTATCTCATGGGTTTCATGGTTGTACAACACCAGCTCATTCGTTTGACTTTCAAGCAAAAGCTCCTCCTTCCAAAACCCCCGTGGAAGAAAAACTTCTGGAAAGAGATTTGCTGTTATTAGTTTGGTCCAACACCCTTCCTCCTCCATCACCCATATATCAATAATAGATTGCAAAATCACACAGTTTGACAAAGGAACAAATCAATAGAATCGTTGTACAATGAAAGAAACCTCCATTTAGGTTCAGGATGATCAAGCCCCTCTATCTCTCTAAATTCCTCCAGCCGCATGTCAAATGAAAGGATCCTATGTTCACTATAATCCAAACCAGACAGCCAATAATATGCTCCATTTATGCATGTGGCACACAAAGAATTATAGATAGTACGGTCTTTAGGTATTGTAAGAAGATCGAAATGTCTCCACGAATCTTTACCTAGAGTGTATATTGCAGCAACATGATAAGGATAATATAGATCATATGTTTCATCACCAATCGTTTCAACAAAGTCACGAATCCAAATAATCTTGTAATCCCTAGTCAATGGGTTCAACCCAAATCCAACCACATTTGTAACGGCATGAAAATTCGGGAGAAAGATAGGTTCGAGTACATGGAGGCGGTTGAACTCTCTCATAGCAGGGTTCCACAGAGCCATACGGTCATTGTTGCTATAATACCCAGGAATGTACAACAAAAATATGTCGTCAATGGGGCCAACAACATTGCCTATATCTTCTGGGCTCTGTAGATGATCAATATTTTCATGTGTTGGTGAAAATACTAGAAAAAATATATTTTATTAATAAATAATGCAAAAAAAAATGAGATACAAATAGATCAGACTGAGACATGGATATCTCGTTTTCTTTAAGGAGATCAAGTCCATTGTGGTAGGAAGAACACAAATACCGATGCAATAGTGATAAAACTATGACTTGTCCCCTTCAGGATACAACAACCCGACTACTTGTCGTATGGTTCATGCCAACTCTGCACAAGATAGTGAACCCAAAGCTCCACCAAGAAAAACACTCTTCTTTGCTAGTAATCTCTCAAGTATAGAAAATAGTTGATGTGTTGGTGTAGAAAAGAATAAATGGGAGGAACTATTTATAGGCCATTACGACTTTACAAAATATACCCAAAAATAATAATGACCACGAACCTAAAGAAAATGGAGAGTCTCCAAAAAATTAACTTACTACCAAGTTCATGAACTCTAATTAATCTCCATTCATGAACAAGACAAAAGGTCACCAAAACAATGAATCTCCATTCATGAACAAGATGAGATTCATGAACAAGACAAAAGAAGATTCATGAACAAAAAAATATATATAAATAAATAAATAGAAGATATTAAAACGGTCCAACAATCCCCCACTCATTTTAATATTAACAAGGATAAGAGAGATTACCAAACAAAGATAGACTAGTATTCATCATGGAGGTGTGTTCTGCATTGAACTTCATTAGTGAAACAGCAACCTCTACTCCAGAGTCAGTAGTGGTCTCAAACTTGAACAATGACTTCTTAAGGGAAATAAAGTATTACTGCACACACATAATAATCTAGGTGTTGACATGAGCTTTTAATAGCCAGCACATTACGGCCTTGTGCTTATCCCAGTTTTCATAAGCATATTTGAGAATAAGCTTTGTTTTCATAGAAAGCGGCCCCACTTTCATGCTCACATAGGTGAAATCTATGTCAAGGATATTCCTGTAATTGACACACCCCACTTAACAAGAGCTACAGAATTTCATTAACGAGTATAAAAACTCAACCCTCCAACATTATAGGACAAATGCACTTACATCATAGGAATAGATAACAAAATATTAAAGAGTACATTTTTACAACCACCATATGATTTGTTCTTCCCATTGAGCCTAGTTACAGGATCTTTGGTCCCTAGGTTGGGTATCCTCATGCATGGTTTATGATTTTATAGGCTTCAAATCCATCCCCGTTGATGCATTCCAGACTCTATCTCTCGCAAAGGTTTTGGTTAACGGATCCACAAGATTATCAC